GAAACTGTTGATTGATTCCAATGCACTACTTTCACAATATGACTAATATCGAATTGAAGTCCATATTTGTGTTTTGCCAAAAATACGATTTTACATCATTGATATAGTTTAAATGACGTATCAAAAACAAATTGTTCTTTGAACAATATTATTTTGGCTTGTGAAATAGAAAAAATATTGCACAAATGTAGAAAAAAAATCTATGAATAAAATCAAACATTATGATGAGAAGATGACGGTATCTTATTCAATGCACGATGACAATGATCATAAATGAACTGTTGTAGATGGTGTAACACCATCTTATGATATCGGATGAACAACTGAAAAACATTTGAAACTTGGATGACACAAAATAGAATCTAATTAGTAGAGCAAAACAGAATCTTATTTGAGACATGATAATGAATCCAGCTTTCGAATTAGATGAGATCCATCGGATTTTCTTTCAATATCATGCAAGAAATTGTGACATACAAACGTTGTTGGCTTTTTTGTCTCCTATTCTATGAAATCAGTAATATTTTTTTACTGCAATAGGTAGTTCGATCATGATCTATTTAGGTCATAAATGACAGTCTGATCTGATATAGCCTATAGGCCAATGAGGGGCGTTGGTCTTAAGATATAGATTGTGGTAACTCTCTATTGTTCCAAAAGCTAGGCGTTCGAAAATCGCAAGATAGAATGGAGTCTACTAAAATATTGTGTGATTCAATTTTTACAGTAAACCATTGAACTTGGCCTAGGGTTCGAAGCACATACCGAGCAGTTTATAATGTTTTAATTCGGTGAGTAGATAGCTATTGATGGTGGATTGAACGTCTCGAGTTATCGTTTGGAGCTCAAGAAAATAAAACATAAAAAGTCCTTGATGCTAACCTCATATCTCAGTCTTGATAAAGGGATAGAGCTCAAGCTAATGCCTACAATCAGGAGTCACCGAGTTCTACCTGTTCTAGAAATTTCAAGGCAAAACAACTTCTATATAGATAGATTTTGTCTAGTTGAGCAACTTTTGCCCACCTTGATTATATGCATAAAGTGTCTTCAGTGATAATCAAATGCTCAAAGAACAACAAGTGAGCATTTGACAATATATGTCAACAACACAGATATTGTTTCATAATTATTTTTCTGAATCCACTCCTTCCTTTTTCGACTACAGTAACATCATGAGGTATCTGCTGCTTTGACAGACTCAATTCTGTCATGAAAGAAAAAAAATCAGCATTTCTCATACCATTCAACAACACTATTGACATACTAGAGTAGCTAATACTGTTTTTATGAGATGATTTTACCTGTAGAAATTTTCAAAACGCTGTGAGGTTTGCAGGGTTTTCCTTCGAATGAATTATGCTGAAAACGTTTTTAGAATTATTTTACATTATACGGAACTCATCATAAACCATACATAATAATTAACAGCGTTTTTGAAACTCTGTTCACTGATGCTAACGAATCACAAACATATGATTGCTGGTAAGAAGAGTCATTTTGTTGAAGAGAATAGTTTGTGTTACCTGTTGAAGACTTGAATAACTATTACTAACGGAAGTAGTGTTACTTGTTCCAAGAAAAACTGCGTTGTATGAATAGTCTATACGCAACTAAATTACTGTCTATTTATACGTCGAAGGAAGTAATTTTTTATGCAAATAGTCTTCAATTCTTTAGAACGAATGGTACTTATTGCATTATTTAAGAATCGATTAACATCAAATTATATGGATGAATAAAAAATATTCTGCTTGCTGCTCGCAAATACACGAGTGATAAAAGAACACATCAATACATGGATGCATAATCGAACAAATTACATGAATGAATGAAAGCAGTCATGTGCTAAAGCAATTTTTCTGTGCATGAACTCTGAATGATTTCTCATAGGCAACAAACTAATAACATTTGGTGTTGAAAGCAACATGAAGGAATATGTGCCTCATGAGGCAACTAAAGTCTGCAAACACAAGCAGGATGTGAGTCTGAGTATGGGTATGGATGTCGAGAAAGAATATATCCGCACCAGCCTCTGCAAGCGTAGCACCGATTTGACCATGAATAAAAAAAAATTAGGTTCCCGTATGACGCTGGCAGAAAAAAAACTATCTGAATTATAAAGTATAATTGCGATGAGGTTGTCCAATAACTACGACAGAGAAGCAGAAAAATTTCTCTTTAATTATATTTTAATCAATTTAGTCGTATTAGTCAAGTAATTCAAGGCACATCTTTTTATTTATTCTACAACTGAAAATTCTCATGCCAAAGAATCATTAGAGAGAAGTACTTCTTTCCGCGTCACTCACCTTTTATTTCAGCTTCGCGGCGTGGGAGTTGCAAAGCCCTTCACGGAGAGTCGCAACCTATGCATATCTCTGTGTACACACTATTACCAACTTCAAATGTTATATTAGCAATAGAATTCAAAAATAATTGATGCTTTTGCGTTAGCTAGAACGCTCAACAACAACGTTTCAGCATTGACAGAATTCCACTTTATACCAAGATGTATCTGATGAATACAGCTATAGGATGACCCCATCTCAATGATAATTTATAATTCAGATTACTTTTTTTCTTCTTTACTGATATAATTATAGGACAGCCGTATTTCAATTGTACTTTTAACTTGATTTTTTTCTTATGCCGATTGGAAGTTCTGATGTTTTTTCGAAATTTTCATTTACATTCGAACTCCAATTAGACATCTGTTCGGGCATCACGAATTAGGTAGTGATGTACAAATACATGCATTAATAAAATGTTTTCTAGAAGTATAATATTTTAATTCATGGTGTATATGTAAATGGATAGACTTGTCCGGTAAAAATATACCTTAAATACACTATGTATATTTTTAAAAACTTTTGTAATTCTGCAAATTCTTTCATTTGGAAAAAGTTTTTGAAAATTTTCTTACACCTCGAGGTATTAGCTTAAGGTTGTATAATGTACACAACAATATGATTAACAAAAATAATGGTAAACACAATACTTGAAAATTACTGAACAGTTCACATTTTTCAAATTAGACTAATTTTATAGAAGATGTTGGCACAATATTTTCTGATTGATATAAGACCATTCATGTAAATAGATTTTATATCAACGAGTTTCTGAACTGGGTTTCGTTTGTATGCTAATCGTATATCTATCCACATTTGCTCTCGGTTTTTAACTGCGTTTAGATACACTTTATAAGTATATACATCTTCCAACAAATAATGAAATCATTCTGAATTTTTCTTTTTCTTCTTGTTGTATAAACTCTCTCATTTCACTTAATAAATTAAATATTCGTTTTATTTCGTTTGATTCGAAAAGTATTGTCGATCTAACTATTAGTAATTTATTGATGAAAATTGTCTTCGATTTCTTGTGCACATATGAAGTCTAGAGAATTTCTTATTTTCATATGGTTATATAAAGTATCAATTATGCTATCGAATCATACAAGTTTTTTTATTTTACTTTTTTTGGCATTCTATTCAAAAATTCGTTAAATTTCGAAAAACTGTTTAAAACACTTTTCTCAGCTAGTAATATTGATATCATTGAACAGATACACAGATCCTCTCAATTCGTCGAGAAACTGTTTACTATTTGATACCATTCAGAATTCATCAACTCGACATTATATGAAAATCTTTCTTCGTATGCAAACTTGATCATATTCTAAAATGTGAATACTACTTTGATCGACAATAAAAAAAAACATCAAATGAAACAATATTTGTTATTCCCTCTACTGAAAGGAGGGTCATACACCGAGCAAGGTTCGTATGTTCGTAACTTCGTTCGTTCGTTCGTTCGTTCGCACAGAACGAAAAAATGTTCTTTTGATCTATCACATCATCGATCTTCGAAGAAAACTTAACCTCAGCCATTGGATTAGTCTACAGTCCCTAACCCATCGACCAATTAGATATTCGCTTCGTCAGCATTCCAGCCAATCAGATTTGGAGAGTTGGAATTTGGACCAATCACAGGTTTTCACGGTCTGCCTATGCGCCAATCAGATTTCGAGTGTTGGAATTTGGACCAATCATAGGTTTTCACAGTCTGGCTATCCGCCAATCACATTTCTAGAGTGGGCATTTGGATGAATCATAGGTTTTCGCGGTCTGCCTAAGCGCCAATCAGATTTCTAGAGTGGCCATTTGGACCAATCATAGGTTTTCAGGTTGGTGCAGGTGTGCGTATGAGGGTGTTTGGTGTGGATTTGGAATTAAATTAAATGTATTTATATGTACACCAACGCCTATGCGCACACCCCACACCGATACCGCCGCACCCCACAACACGCATACCCGCATTCGCACTCACACCCACATCCGACACCCACGCAAGCACACCCCACCCACACCCACACCAACACACGCTGTATGTGTGCCAAAGTGAAAGTTTATGTTTGAGTATGGTTGGATAACATATTAGGCCAGTATTCCTCTGTAGATTCTGAAAATTTTAGTGGTGTCTGACAGCTAATGTAATTGTACTAGCTGTTTCTGGAAGTTTATTCAGTGAAATGAGGGTCGCTCCGTTGCGTGTAGATCTCGATCTGGTTTCTGGGTTTGTTACGATGCGGTCACTCCAAAGTGCAGTTGCGAGTGTTAGCGCCTATGTTTATAAGAAAATTTCGTTGATATTACTGTTCTTCTATGAAAACCTTACTGAGGAAAATTTTCTTATATGACGTGTGTCGTATCTAGCTTCTGTTTTAGTGTATAGCTGTCATATACTGCTTGGGATGCTGGTGGAATGCACCAGTGATAATGACTTTTGATCGATACAGTTCGTTAAGATGCTTTAAATTCTTTTCATTTTCTTTTTATCTTTATAGCTTTTATTGGAAAGAGAAATTGGTACAAGCTTTGCAAATGATCTATGGGGTAGAAAAGTGAAATGAACAGATTTCGAGCATGCAATATAGAGTTTTTTTACGAGTTAGATTGTTTTTCTGAAGATCACGGCACTGTTAAAATGTTATTGTTTTAAACAATGAATTGAAAGCGTTTCCGAGTATTTTGTGCTATTTTATCTAATCGTTTAAGTTCTGCTATTTGGGCCGTTGATGGTTTAACTTGGAGTGTTGCAAATTCAAATGGACGTATGATAAGTAAATCGTCAAGTCTCTTTACACGAGATAATGGAACATAAACCGATGCAACTTCAAGTGGGCCAGGAGGCATGACCAGATCGACGATAATTTTACCGAGTGTTTGTCCTTGGCTTTTATGTGTTGTCATGCTGTATGCGGGTATAAGCGGAAGTGCTTTACGTTTGATCGTGAGTTTTGTTGTTTTCTTGTTTATTTTAGCCGCTTTTGCTACATTTTCTGGAAGAAGTTCCTTGGCATCAAACAAGAATGTTTGTTCACTAATAGATATTAGGGCTGTACCGCTCACGCTCATGAGCGCTCATATGAGCGTGAGCGATTTTTCGCTGACGCTCATGAGCGCTGATATGAGCGCGAGCGCTTTTTCGCTCACGCTCATGCTCACGTGAGGGATGGTCGCGCACGCTCATATGAGTAGGGATGTACCGCTCACGCTCATGTGCGCTCATATGAACGTGAGCGACCACCCCTCACGTGAGCATCAGCGTCAGCGAAAAAACGCTCACGCTCATATGAGCACTCATGAGTGTGAGCGGTACAGCCCTAATAGATATAGGAACTATCTTGGATTGCAGTTCAGGAAGTTTGTCATCAAGTTTGCAACCAGGAAATTCTGCTAAAGCGTACTTTGGTTGCGTTATAAACTTGGTATTTAATGGAAAATTCTTATCTTGGTATCGAACATCTTCTGGTGATTCATCGTATACAAGTTGACGAAAGATTCCTCGTGTACCGTTAGACAGTCCGAGCTCAATAGCAACGTTTTCTGTGAGTAAAACTGGCACTCCTGGTACGAGAGGTAAATAGCCTGGAAGATGTTCTGTTTTATTATCAGGTAATTCAAGTATCGCTTGACGTAATCGTGAATCATCCACAGTTTTTCCTTGAATATAATCTTGAGCAATACATACAATTGGGCTAAGTCCCATTTCCATTGTTTTGTTTAAGACAGCCCTATTGTTAATTTGAGTGCATAGCGTATTCCGAAAAACCAGTATTGGAGCCTATTAAAAGAAAAGTAATGTGATACACAGAGAAAATGAATGTGCATACTTCGTTCCATGGCTTTTGTTGTAGAGATACTTGAAGTTTTGGATTTTCTATGACTCTCGTACACAGAAGTTGGTAATCTTCTATTGACGATTGTCCATTTCTTAATCTATTTAAAAGCTCCAAATATCTTATGTCTTCGGTTCGCATTTGCTGAGTTAATCCAACGACGCAGTTTATTTCAGACGTAAGCTTCTGTGCACACAACATATCTATCTGACGTTCTGCAACTTGCTGTGGCGGTGCGCATGCATAGTAGAGAGGCTTGTCCAAAACAGGAGAATATTGAAGGTAGTCGCCGAAGAAAATGACATTGACACCACCAAAAGGTATCTCAGAATTTACGTGCTTGGCTGTTTTCACTATTCGATTGAGACGAGCTAATAGGCTGAGTCCTACCATACTTATCTCATCGATTATCAGGTACTTCACATGACGCCATTCATTTTCCAATTTCGTATCGCCAGGTCTAAATGTACGGGTATTGTTCTTTTTAGTGTTTTTGCGACTTTCACCTAAAAATGAATGGATAGTTAATCCGTCAATCTCAGCTGCTGCTATCGACGTTGGCGCCAGTTTACGCAACATCTTGCCCCTCTTGGTTACTTGAAAATAATTGGTAATTGCACGAATTAACTGAGATTTTCAAGTACCATCGCAACCAGGTATGCACATTAATAACTGATTATCGATAGTATCTAAATATCAAGACTATTCAAAGTTTTCAATAACAAAATCAAGAAAATATACCGGTGTGAGCATGATTTTCGCCATCTAAGTGACTAGTTATAATCATGAAAGCATATTTTTGCTGAGTATTTAGTGTAAATTGTTTGACGATATTCTGTTTTGTGGGAAATAAAACCAAATTGGTTGCAGTTACAGGTAAGACTCTCGTAGCTTTCGTTTTAATTGGGCTTGTTGGAATTTCAGCACCTACGACTTCAATCTGTGTTTCATCATCTCGTATTTCCAGAGTATCTTCATCTGAAATTAAATAGTTTCTTGTTTCGTCTCGTCGGGCTTCAATATCATGTTTCCACTCTTTAATCGTGGTCGTATGATGCTCGCGAGCTACGACAAATATGTGGACGTCGTGTATGATACCATAATTATTTTCGCCCGGACAACGTGTACGGTCAAAATCAAACTAAATGCTTTCGAAATATGACAGTAATTAACTCACCATTGAGTAGTGCAAATCTGTCTGTATTATCAATTGCTTATAATGCATCATGAACATAGCGTTGTTCTTGAGTAACTGTCAATGCAGAGTAAGCGTTTGTGGTGGTCTCATTTACGATGGTGAGCATTTGCAAAAGTTGTTCCGGATCATCTTCGTCTGCATTTTCATCACCTTCATAGCAGTTAGGCATCAGAATAGGGTCAATGTTGTTTTCATTTTGGGCTTCTAAAAGAACTTGATGCAGGTGCTCATCTCGATCGTGTTTGCATTCGTGCAAAAGTTCTATATTTTCTATAATCTTAAGCAAGTTGGAAGAGATCAATAATCTTCGAGCTTCCAATGCTTCAGACCATGTCTCATTCGTTGCACAAAGGTCCTGAACTGATCGCCATGGAACGAATAATGTTAACAATGCGCGACAATAACGTTCATGCGTTTCTTCTCGTTCGCGGCGAGATATTTGAGGACCTATCAGGACTGGTACTACTGGAATGGAACGTTTAATTATGAGATGAGATAATGATTGCGGATGTGCGCTGTCAAATGTATGATGTTCATTCATTTTCGTTCCTTCTGTAGGTAATTGTTGGCCTTGAGAATTGGTTACATTCTTTAGTAAACGACGATCCGATTTGGCGATAACCTTCTTATGAAAATGGCTGACGAAATCATATAAACACACTGCACTAAGATCCTTTGATCGATGCTGATAATCAAGACGAGTATTGACCAAGACATACTGATCGCCGTTGTTGGTTTTTGTGGGTTCTAATAAAAATTGTTCTTCGATTTCGTTTTTATCTTCTCCTTGTTCATCGTAGTAAGGCGTTGAAGTCTCTAGAAAACAACATGTTAAAAATCTATACAATTATTTTAAAAAGTTCTACCATCTATTCTCTCTTCAACAATTTCTTTTTCGTTAATTCGTGCTTTATTTAGTTCTGTTTGTAGATAGGTTTCGATTGAAATAAGAAAAAGATTTTTGAACGTATGTGTAGTGTAGTGGTCACCATAGTTCATCAGATATGATGCAACTTGAACACCTGAAACTTCTTGTTGTGAAGCAATCATATTGAAGCAGCGCAACACTAGTTTACGCGATTTGTCAACGATATTATCTGTGGTATTAGAAGTTCGTTCCTGCTCAATAGATTTGATACCTTGTTGTGCAAGCGCAAACATATCGTGGAAGGCCAGAGTAGAAATTGTTACATAATCAGTTATATAGTAGTGTTACAGTCATATGTTTATTCCTGACTCATCGGCATCTGTTTATTCATTCTTTGACGCTTATCCTTTCTATATATGCTCTCTCTCTTGTCGCTTACGTGATTCTGTTCTGTTGTTGTTCTCGCGTCGATATCTCGAAATAAACGAACATCGAGAAGGTACACGGAATCCTCTAATATTTGGTGGCGTGACCGACTTTCTTTATTTCACAAAAAGAAAGTGAACCATTCTACTCCTCCGTTTGTATCGGTTTTGGTGTTCTTGAATTCAAGGTATAGCAAACATTAACTACCCACAAGCAAAATGTGGCAACTTACTAATCAATCGGATCCGGTGTGTTTTGACTGCATATATATGTATCATTATAAAGTTAAACCATGTTCGCATACAATTTGTAACAAGTGCTTATATGAAGCAATTGCAGAGAAAATCCGGTTGCAACACGACGCAATCATTTGTCCTAGATGTTTGGATTCAACAAACCGTCAAAATGTCCCCCGAACGCCTCCTGAACAAAGTCAAATTCATAATCAACACAAAACTGCATCTATTAGTCGAAAACAGCTTTCACCTCTTTCATTGATTTTACAGTATGATTGTAGTGCTAGTGATATCGCTTCACGCATTGATGAATCTCTGAAAACTATCACAGATTTAAATGAACGACAACGAGTGCAAAAAGTTTTATTCAAAAACTGGTTTCTGTTCATTGAACCAGTAGAAACAAAAAAAGTTGAAAAATTGCTTCGCCGACAGCGAAGTCAATACGAATATCGACGCCTACAGGAATTCATCTCTCTCAATTCTTCCGAATCCATGGAACATTCTGTGAATGAGGACAAGCTGCCGAAAATAGTCATACTTGCGAATGAAACCGAATCGAACTCACAATGGCCTGATGGAACTCAATCGTGGCACATACACGAAATAAAACCTCAACGCGAATTATTCATCAAGCAAGCTCATGAAGAAAATTTATTAATCCAAGAAAGAAGCATTGAAACTGAACCCGATGCATTTTGGCCCAATGGTACTGAGTCGTGGCATTTTCATGATATTAAACCACAAAGAAAATTATTCGCAAGAAAAGCTTCCTTTTGTTCTTTAACTGACACAGAAGCATTAGCAATGAAACAAAACGATCTAGTAACCACGGAACAACCATATATCTTGCAAGAAGTGCTGATGTCTAAACCAAAAATTGATTCCACGTTTATAAGTGAAACCACAGTTGATTCACCCGCTTCATTGAATTCGAACATTCAAGAGCACAAATTTCGACAAAAACTTCATACTGGTATTATTTGTCATGATTTATCAACATCGAAATGTAAACTACGACCGATAACAAGTCATGGGTTACACGGTTCATTTTCGTCTGCCAAGTTATATAACACCTCGTCGAACCAATCATCAAGACTATTTAATTACGACCTCACTATATTGTCATTCATTTTGTTTTCACTTCTTTTTGGATTCAAAATACTTCACTATCCAGCACATAACAATGTTCTCAATATATCAGCACTTATTTACGGATTAATTATACATGTTAAGAGTTTTTTGGCGAAGAATTCAAGAGAATACAAACTTTATTCATCACCATATGTAATAACAGTAGTAATTCTTCGCGAGCTAGAATCACTGTTAGTATACGGCATTACATAATTCAATGGAACTATTCATAACATTATTCGGACACGTGGCATTCGGTATTCACTCTGCAATTATTTTTAAGACTATATCCAAGAAAAATACGCACAAAACTATTTATGAAAAACATTTTCAATATCATTCTCATCTCATCGTATCAATTCTACGTCATTCATAATCGAACATTTTAAAGGTCTAATCAGCAACCTTAATTTATAACGCAAAAATTCTTCGCTAAATCGTTTTTGCTTCGTCTCTTCAATCGTAATCGTCGAGCGAATCGTGTTTTCGATATGATTCAGTCGATCACAAAAGAGCTGGCCGAGCTGAGTCGGCATACATACCGCATTCGTTCTTCATATCTCTTTGGTATGTTTTTTTTTTCTGCAATGGTATTATACCATCGTTTCTTCTATTTGTTCTACATACTATGGGCTATTTAATTTCAGTCTGAATTTATCAAATAAAAATAATACTTGATTTCAAACTGAAACGTGAGTCTAGGAGTGAGGGAGGGGGTGACTGAGGGTGTGGGTGTTGGTCTGGGACCCACACACACACCCACACCCATGGTGCGGGTGTGGGCGCGCGAGTGAGGGTGAGGGTGTGCTTGTGGTTTTGTGTACTATAGGCTTTAGTCCCCTGCACAAGGGACTAAGCGGGGACTAAGCTTTTTGTGGGGGGGACTAAGGGGGACTTTGCAGGACTAGGGGGGACTAAGGGTTTTTAGTGAGACTACGTAGTATCAAGCGAGAAAAGTTTGATTCGGAAGAAATTGGTGTGTTTTTTTTTATTTTGGAATTCAGTTTGAAATAAAAAAGCCCATAGACTCTTGTTCTATGGCTCTCTATCTGTTATCTTATTACAATTGCGTTCTCAATTTTTCATTTCTTATTCTTATATTAGTGTAATGTTGTCTCTATGAATGTGTGTGGACCCACATTTTTGTTGGTGAGGAGGAATGTTACAGTCATATGTTTATTCCTGACTCATCGGCATCTGTTTATTCATTCTTTGACGCTTATCCTTTCTATATATGCTCTCTCTCTTGTCGCTTACGTGATTCTGTTCTGTTGTTGTTCTCGCGTCGATATCTCGAAATAAACGAACATCGAGAAGGTACACGGAATCCTCTAATAAGTAGACTAATGCTTTGGCATCATTACCACTCCAGATGAATTTAATGTCCATATTCGATCGGCACGCACTTAAAAACCATTCATTAAAGTTATTGATCCACGGATGTGATCGACGCATAGTTATCTGACCTGTTGTAAGGTCAATATTAGAAACATTCACTAGTGCGCGTGGCATGCCCATTCGACACCTTTTTGAACTATCATTTTTGCCTTTAGAATATCTATAGCAAGTTGCAGAATGCTTGTGAATATTGCAGGTTTCGACCAATTGAACTACATCTTTGCGAAACGTTTGATCGAAGTCTTCCGATGCAGGATTTGGTGTTGGAAGACATGGTGGTATAACTTCACTTGCTGTCGATCCAATTTCTCCTAAGATGAAGTGAGAATTATAATTAAAGATCTACTAAAAGCTTCAAAGCTCACCAATTAATGTTCTACTGTCGCTTGTCGTACTTGCTCCGTCGTTGGTTTCATCTTAAAAAAGAATATTGATATTCAAAAGTACAAAAAATAGAAGCCTCATAAATATATAGTAAGAATAAGTGATCGGAATGAAATATGTTTTGCATTAATAAAAATTTTAACGATGTTCTGAAAGCTCAAGTTCGAGGTAAGGCAGTGATACACTATCAGGGTGTAAAACAGCATCAAGTAGGCAAATGTAACAACTTCAAATGACAGATTCGAACAATGTTAAATATATTACCTCGAAACGAATCTAAATCTTCTTTTATAATATCTTCTAAATATTTTAGTAAATTTTCACGAAAATTTTGATTTTGAATATTTTCTTTCAATTGTGCTGGAGTATATTCATGATTGAGCCAAATCAAGAGATGTAAATGGAGCGATCCTCTTCCTTGACTCTCTACAGTGCCGAAATACGCTTTTGCAGGACCAAGTACACCGCCCAATAGTAGGCTTTTCAAAATGCTTTTTATTAAACAGTTGAAGAACTTTGCAGCTGCAACAGGGTGCGTCGCGACAATTTGAGCACGCTCATAACTTGTACGCAGGACTTCTAGCAGAACGTTATCAAGATCGAGATCGACACCTCCAAAGTAAAGTGCCACTGGACTATGGATGTCGGCCGGATTGATTGTGAGGAAAAGGCTAGGAAGACCAAGATAAAAACATAAAGAATGAATTTTCGTACGAAGAGCTGATCTGGAATGAGCTGAACCCATGACGTGACCACCAATAATTTTGATGTGCTTCATCAATGTATTTATTCTCTCGTCAGTAACTTTTGAATAAGGCGCTTTTGAGATATTAATAAGGGCTGCTGCTACATCTTCAGAACTCAATGAGTTAAGAACTTGTGCAGATTGTTGAAACCACGATCTTGTTGTCATTAATTTGGCGTGGAAACATGCTGTTCGGCGTTGTAAAATATTGAAGACAACGAATATAAATGAATAGTGTTCTTCAAAGCGGCGATCTGCATACGAAAGAAGATATCTGAGATGCTCACGAAAATTGATTTGAATCGGTCGAGAACCATCCTCAAGCCCACCACATTCATATGGGAATAGGGTAGGAAAGATTTCTAATAAAAGATTTGGATTAGAATATTCATTGGCCGGTTTGTTGCCACGAGGAATTATGTATACAGTGTCTTGTTTAGAGTTTTGCTCGGTGTCTTTTCCGTGTGTTTTTTCTGGCACTTGTGCTTTGATTCGTTCTAAAAGATGTTCAGCAACTTCATCAGACGACACTTTGGTACTATTGACATCTAACACAGCACTATAACATAAACAATATTAGTACCAAAATATCAACATGTCTCTTTGTCTTACCTTGAGATTATAGGTATAGCTGTTGTATTGTTAAATTCAGATGCATTGGTCAACGGATCAGGAAGGTAACTTGCTCTTTCATTTTCAGCTGCTTCTACATTAGTAGAAACTTCCATGGTTGCCCATAAACACTCCGGTACATCATCTTCAGGTAATTTGCTGATTATTAATTGATTAATTGTAACATTACGATATAGAGCATTATTCTGTCTAAGCCTTTGAAGTGCTTCGAAAACTTTCTTTTTTCGAACGGTCAAAACATTTTTTAATTGGTTTCGTTGATGAGGACGACATCCAACAAAGATTATCTTTAGAGAATCACATAGATCATCTAAATCTAGTGGTAAGGTAGTAGCTATGTTAATAACATCTTGGGGAAAACTTATGCAATTCCTTCTTAAAGCTGACTGAGCTGTACTTGTCGAATGAAAAGACGAATGTAACTTGACAATGCAACCATTGTGCCGCTAAAGAGCGATCAGTTTTTCCTCATGAATTGTTAGTCCTTGTAGTTCTTCTGGGACATCTCCAGCCCATATTTTGTTGGCAGGCGAAAATTTCGGTACTTTCCCTTTTATTAGAGACGACCAACACTCCGAACAAATGTTGCAGTGTATCGAATATCGTTTTTTTCTCTCAACAGTTTTATGCAATCCTGCTTCATAAAAAACGATACCGTTTACATAAGTAAACTCCTGTTTATTCGTTGTTGATTGAGCATGCGTATCTATAATTAAAAAAATTATTTACTGTATTAGTTTAGTACTAGCGAGACTAACCTGCTGCTCTTTCTTTCTGAATCAATGTCTTGACAAGATCACCACTCATGTTAAGCTTATCATGTGACTGGAATTGGTACGTTTCCTGCATTCCCGGAATTATGTCATAAAAATCGTTGGGTACTTTCAGTAATTCAATAGACGGTATTTTACTGAACGGTATATGGTAGAAATCACGTTTGTAGCAACGAACATTACAAATACCGCAAACACCTACTTGCAGAGAACTCATCGACATATGTTGAATAAAGTTCTTTAAACAGTTTTTCTTACGTTCAATATCAATAGGTTTTGGCCATTCAAAGTCGTTACTTTCTTGTTGGTGCTTGTCGCTTTATCGAAGCCACTTTCTCTGACGAGCAGATGCACGCTGTCATTCGAGTTCATCAGATGTATAAGTAGCTTGTCTTGCGGTACTTCTTTTGCAAGCTACCACACACTGTTCTTCAGCTTCTTTTGGTGATGCAGTAGCTCGTTTATTCATACTTCGTTCGGCAGCAAGTGTTCGTTATAGCTGGATCTCTTTCGATGTAAAAGTAGCTCTCCATGCTACAAATTTCTCACGAGTTAGCTCTCGCTGGACTTCGATTTCTTGCACTGTTAAAGCAGTTCTTCTGGCTGCACTTCTGTCTCGAGTCATAGTACGTTCATGTTCAAGTTATTCTGATGTTAAAGCAGCTCTTCTAGCTGCAATTCTTTCTCCTGCAAGGGGCCGCTCTAGTTTAGCTTGTTCTGATGTAAAGGCAGCTCTTCTGATAGCGCGTCTTTCACTTGCAAATATCCGCTATCTTTCAGCTTCCTCTGGTGTAGCTTGAGCTCGGTTAAAAGCCATCCTTTGACAAGCTTGTGATCGTCTTTTGTCAATATTCATGTTCTTCGCGCTCGTGTGAGTCTCACTTGCTTGTACTATTCGTTTAGTTCGAGAAGTTGTTGCGGTTTCCTGGCTTACCATGTAATAGGTCGATGATGTTTGAAATTGTTGAATTTTATTATTCTCCATATTAAATTCAGGAATGCAAATTCGAGTTAGTACGTTATTCTTCGTTGTTGAATTAGTTGGCGTCTGTAAGTGAAAGTGTGTTTTATTTGTGTAAAAGGTTCTGTACTAAAACATTAAACTCACCGAGCGTGACACAGTGGATTTCGGTTCAGTCAGGCTACTTTGATTCTGAGACTCACTCGATGGAAGTAAAAGTGGTACGAAATTATTAGGTGTCCAATTATCAACATTACTTTTACTTGTGTCTCTTTCACTTTGAGTATGTAACCAGGATATATAAATTGTTTTACATGAAATACTGGATTGAGCATGCTCAAACGTACTATTCATGATGTGTAGATCAGGTCGATAATCAATTCTAGGATATATAACTCGTATATTGCATTGAAGAACATTGCTCAAGGCTGCGATTTCATAAAGTTCCGAGCATGAAAAATGATGGGTGATATTTTTATCACCTCATTGAGTGGTCCAACAATATGTGCATGACGATTGCTGTAGAGAGTTTCATTTTTTACGAGTTCTATTACATTTTGAATTAGAAAGATTGTATTAACAGAACTGAATAGTAAAGTTGGAAGTACCTACCTCTCGGTTCGCAAGATATCAAAACTGTATTATCAGTCAAACATACGATAGAGTTATAGAGACAATTGCCATCTGCAATGACGTCAATTGTAACCATATTTTGAACGCCTAAAGATGTCTGCTGAAGATATGATTTGGCTTCTTGGTCTACCTTATGAATAACTAGGTTGAAATGAGTAACGCGTGCAAATCGTATCGGTGTTAAAAGCCAGTCCATCTAAATTGCTGAGACCATATAAATCGAAACCTCTTTTGCGAAAACTTACGACCCTGATTTGTCCACAAATAGCCTTGATTCGATCATAATAGCCGTCAGCTGTGGATGCCTCGTCAAGTTCCATTAAAAGTATTTTAAATACTTTAAAATGATTTGTTTTGAGACAATTTAAGCAGCAAGAAGTTTTTGTCAATTTAGAACAAAAAGGGACACCGATAGGTGTGGATGTGGGTGTGGGCATGGGGTACGGGTGTAGGCTTGGGCGTTCATGTAGATGTCCTCGTCTCACAGCCACACGCACCCATCGCCACACATTCACACCCGAAATGAATTCTCTTCCTCAAGGCTGGGTTTTGTTCATACGTAAATCGAGCATACATATTTTAGATGAACAGTGTAGGTACTTCAAAAAAAATTAGATGAAGGCGTTTCTGGTATGAAACGTTGGAAACCGAAACGGTTTGTATTAGATAGGGAGACCTTGAAAGAAAACGGCAAGCTTTACTTTTCGGCTATCCAAGTTTAAAATGAAAATGAGGTTTGCTCATTTTTCTGTCAACTAAAACGCGAACAACAGATGATTACCACTCAAAATTTGTCAGATAGTAAAGTCCTCATCGAAAATAAACCCGTCAAAGATACTGGTAATGATATTGAGAACGAGGAAATTGACTTTGAACTTGAAACATTAAACTAAGATTTTCAAGATATTGAAATTGCTCTGTAAGAGATCAAAATGCTAGCAAGCTTTAGTATGAATGCTAAAATGGCACTTGAATCATCTCTTTAAATGTATTCCCAGCTACAACCACTCCTCTGACATTAAAGAAAATCAAATAAAATATAAAACAGAACCAGGTTTACCGGATTAGGGCTAAGTCATTCTAAATAAACAGATGGGTACGGTTTTACCGAGTTTTGCTCGCGTGAACATACCAATGGGCACGGATTTTCTGAATAATGACCATTGATAAAGAATTATATTGTTTGCATGAGTGCGGCTTTTCCAAGTACCCTTCATAGACAATAAAGGGACATGTGTTTTCCGAATAATGTCCCTCCTCTTCAGGCATCATGGGCTCTACGTGCCGAAGAGGAGAAGCACGGATAAGATTCCCCTTAAACGTGACCATCAATCCTGCGTCTTGTATAAAGTAAGTGTACAACTATTTAAACAATACTTTAACTTCCACTGAAGTAAAATTGAACGTTAATCGACTTATAAAGTGTTTTCAGCTCTTTTGCATAACATGATGCTAACCCATTTTACCTTCGTAAATTACGATAAATGATAATTCAACAGTTTATATAGACGATTTGCTTATTGAAATATATCGTACTTGTGTGAAAAATACTTTAGATGCATCATAGTCTTCTTAAACTTTTGTTCGTTTTTCAGAAAAAAATATTCAAAATAATTTTTTCTCATAGACACTGTCCAATTGATCAACGTTGTAAGCCATTTTTGGACATCATTCGAAATCTTTTTTATTTTTTTTTATAACAATTTTGTCGAGAGAAAAAAGTCGTATAGCTTATAAAATATTCAGCGCAGGATCTCTTAAAATGACTAAACGGAAGCTGATACACTGTAATATATTGCTAAAAGATAGTCTCATTTTTCCACTAGAAAATAACGAGTTATAGATAGTATTTCATAGATAACTCTCGATTAGTCCATGGAAATCTAACATATTAAAAGATGATTTTGTTCAGCGTCGAAGCCGTATCTTTTGGTATATTACACGAAAAATTTCATAAAATTATTGTCATCTAAAAGAATTTTAACTTTCTATGCAGGATTTTTTAGTTTTCCTCAACTAAGACTCTTACCCTGTGATAGGTGCATTCGAGCTAACTTTCCAATGGCTCAACGAAATGCTCTAAAAGTTTGCATTTAGCGGTTTTCGATGATGCTGAACAAAATAAGAACATAAAAACAAAAATTCAAATTTTATCGAGTACTTCAATATCTACCACGATACTCGATCATCTCACGGACTCTCTCTTAAAAGCTTGGAGCCTCTTCATAGAAGAAGCAGTTTTGTCAAATACGATCTGAAAAGAATGTTGAACTCTTTAGAGGTAGACATATGGACTCACCTCCCTTTCCTCCCCACAGACCATGACAGACAAGGTCTGGAGTTTGTTTATCGTCTCTCTTTAAGTTAGGAAGTACTGATTTTGTCTTTTAAAACTCAATTACTAAGTTATCGTGTGTGTGACTATTGGTTCATGCATTCCAAGTTGAACCTGACGTTGCTTGCAAACGAAGCAAAACTGAGGTTTTGTTAATTATTCTTTTATCATAAACAAACAAAATATTACGCATTTTCGTCTAAAATGCAGTAGTATCATTCTTTACACTACAGGAAACAGAACGCTCTTGTTGTATCTTACTCCGTTTTAAAAGTTTTCATATTGATGTTGAAGCTTTGTTTCATACATCTATTTTCAAAAATATCATTCATAGAACACATTAATCGATACATTCCCTGGAGAATTTGTTTGATTGCGGAACTTACGTACATTTTCAAAGAAAATAGTCAGTATAAATTTTAAGACCAAGATGTTCCAGTTCCCCTCCTCCTCCACCCCATGACAGACACATAGCAACAGGAACAGAAGATTACTGGTGTAACCCCTCTTCTCCCACCCTCTCCCCACTCCCATTACAAACAGGCCATTATTACAGACCTCAGCAATTGCGCAGAATTCAGATCTTCTACAATTTTCTAGTGCACTCATAATTATTCGGAACGAAGACTATTTTTTAGTTTAGAAATAATGCATTATGATAACAACTCGGAAGCACATACGTAAGTTCCACATTTCAGCTCCAAAGGAGCTGCGTTGACAAGCTTTTGCACTTGTTTTCTTAGCATACTTTTTGGGTTATTTGTGAAAAGAAAAATACCACAACTGCTTTTTTTCATTTGAATTTTCGTTTCCTCTTCATGAAATTAAAGAAGACCATAAAAATCTTTATTGGGCTTAACCTTGAAAATAATAAAAATGTCTACAAAAAAATTGAAAATAAAATATTGTCTCTTTATCAGGAGCAAAGCCAGATTTAACTAAAAAATAAAGAGTAAATAATCCAAAAAAGATCAGATAGAATTCGTGCCAAAAAAAATCGTAATCTTCTGAAACTATTTTTCCAGAAATTTGATGAACTATCGAATGCAGTTACCAAAGCCTACCGAAAGCAGTGGTCCCAAAGCATGTCTGCAATGAGTATTGTAGTTCAGTTCGGAGCTACCACTCTAATTAAGAACATGATCAAACTGGGAGTACACTCTAAAGCTAAGATACCAACTGAGGACAAAAATAGAACGCAACTGTTATAAAAATGAGTACTGCTCCATGAAAAGCTTTGGGATAGTACAGAACAATGAGTAATAACTAAGCGAGATGCTTCCCTTGATAGAGTGACTACGGAACAGAATCAGTCTGACAGATCTTGATACCATGGTTGAAGTTGATAATGTAATTGATTCTATCGATTGAGAGTGTAAGTTGTGTCAGAAGCTGATTTCCCACCGAGATAGATAACAGAATGATGATTTGAATTACAACCGAAATAAAAATAACGACTAGAAAATGAATCTGAATCAAAGCAAGGATACTCACGATGATAGTGGCCGAGGCAGATGTCGAAAGTGACTCTCAAGTTTCTTTGAGGGTCAGAAAGGATACCGAGGACTGGACCTCATCCAAATGTCGATTTTTGAGGAGGAATATGTGTTTAGACAAGAAATGCTTCCAAAAGTGGTAGTAGAAACCAATATCTTCTGTCATAGGCAGAAGGGACCATTGAGCTCGTTTTTAACAGGATCGATGACATAAATCAGCGTATTATTAGTTGTGAAGCCTGTATATTTTACGTATCCTGTGCAATGGTAGAAAGAAAAAGAAAAAGAAAATCGTGATATTATGCACATTTTTCCAACAATCGATTAACTTCCCTCTTTATTATTCAAGCTGTCTCATCGATAAGTGATAGAACAAGCAAAAGAATAATAACATTTTTGTCGGAAAAAACCCAGTCTGTTTCAT